CGGGCCTCTCACTGTGTGGCCTCTCCCGTTGCGGAGCACAGGCTCCGGACGCGCAGGCCCAGCGGCCATGGCTCCGGGCCCCAGCCGCTCCGCGGCATGTGGGATCTTCCCGGACCGGGCCTTGCATCGGCAGGCGGACTCTCAACCACTGCGCCACCAGAGAAGCCCTGGTTCAACTTTTTATGGAACAGGGTCTAGGCTCACTTGCAATTAAATGCTTTTGAAGGTGACATTTGAGGGAATTAGGATTTTGAGTTCTTTCCATTTCCTGGCCACTGAGTCATTCTTGGGGAAGTCATGATGTTATACATTTCCTTAGAAGTATAAATCACAAAACAACAGTTCCTTGACCTCAGCAGTTTATAATTTATATGAGTCATAAATAAAAGCAACGTTAAATAAAACTAAACTGTTTGATGGAGGTGATGTGAATACAGTGTTGGCAAATGGAAAGTTCTGTTTAGGTAGAATCATTTGTCTCCTAGCAGGCAAAGCACTACAGGAGAAGAATGTAGCTTTTTCCAGAAGTCTTAGTATCAAGGCAGCAAACATTTGTTGAGTGAGTACTCTATACACGGCTGTATGTTTGAACCTTAGGGACAAGACCTTCAAGCAAGGAGTAATAACTGCTTTACAACAGTACCTACACGGTTTATGGGAACACAGAGAAAGGGTGTCCAGGAAGGGAGCACAGAGGAGGTGACGCTGAAGAATGAGAGCAAGTTTGCAGGGCAGTCAAGAGGAGAGGCCACCGCTAACAGGTCACCCGGTGGTGCAAGACTGCAGTGACTGGAGAACTTCGGATAATTAGATGTGACATGCAGAGGAGGTATGGGTAGAGGAAAGGAAGCAATGAAGGGGGTCCTCAGACCAGTTCCTGGGAGGCTTTGAAATGTGGAGTTGCAGAAGTGGATTAAATGCAAACAGTGAACCTCACGGGAGGAGGGGTTCTGTACAAGTGAAAAATAACAGCACTGAGACAGCGGCAGCGGGGACACTAGGAGACCACCCACTGGCTTCCCTCCCTCCCTCATCAGAATTTGTGCCTGGTAGGACGCAGGATGGTCATAGTGAGCGGGCTTTACTAGAGCCAGGATCACAGTGAGCTGCCTTCAAGGTTGGCAGAATTGAATGGGAGAGTTACGTGTGTCGGTGAAAAAAATACCGTCTGGGGAGTTGGAGGATGGCCGTCCACAGGAGGAATGATGACCTGAGGGCCTTGCCTTTGGGTCAGAGCCAAGGATGGCAGGAACCCGCGACACGGTGGGTTGACTGACCTCAAGAGCTAGAATGTACTCTGAGGTTGGGTTTTCCAGTGCTGTGCCAGTGGGGGCTTTGGAGGTCTCTGGGCACTGCTTGGCATGCCAGAGTACGTCTTGGTAGAGCATGGACACCAAACTTCTTAAGAGATTCTTCTCAGAAGACTCCAACTTCCTGGGGAAACTAACAGCTGGCCTCACCCTCTGGAAAGATCAAGGCTCTGAGTGGGGACATTTGGCTTCTGGCCTTGGGAGGTTTTCTTGAGGGGGGACAGTGGGGACAGTGTTATGCAAGTTTTGCAATAACAAACTCTCAGAGGATCCTTCCCATACAACAGGAAGACTTCCGTTTCTATCACTGTAGCTAATAGAATGGGCATTTAATTGTCAGGACAACAATAGTGCTTATCTTATCCCTTTTGCTAATTCTTGGTAAATTGCTCTGTCTGATTTGATTTTTTTTTTTTCTTTTTAATCCTGGCCCCTCTCTCTCTTTCAGAACCAGACTATCAGGTGTACCTGAATGCTTCTAAGGTCCCTGAGTTCTCAGACGACCTCACCGAGCTGGAATGCCGGATAGTGGATGTGGAGAGCACCGAGGCGAGTGTCCGTTTCACGGTGTCCTGGTACTACAGGGTGAACCGGCGCAGCGATGACGTGGTGGCCAGCGAGCTCCTCGCAGTCATGAACGGGGACTGGACGCTGAAGTATGGAGAGAGGAGCAAGCAACGGGCCCAGGACGGAGACTTCATTTTTTCTAAGGAGCGTACAGACACGTTCAATTTCCGAATCCAAAGGACTACAGAGGAAGACAGGGGCAGTTATTACTGTGTTGTGTCTGCCTGGACCAAACAGCGTAACAACAGCTGGGTGAGGAGCAAGGACGTCTTCTCCAAACCTGTCAGCATATTTTGGGCATCAGAAGGTAGGCACTTCCTTCTTGTTCATGAACATTTTTGTTTTGTTTTGGCTTAAGTCATCCCACTGGGCATTTTCAGATGCACAGTCACTCTGCAGGTTTCCATTTATACTAGGGATCCAAGAAATTCACACTCCAGTGACTGTGCCTCTTATCCTCAGCACGAACCCCTTTACGATGATGACGTTGAGAAGGGTAAGTCCAACAAGAGGGCTGGGGCTTGGTCGGTGGTAGGAGATCATCTTGCAGGAGCTCACAGGGTGCCTGGGGTATGCCATCGACACTATGGTCCCGCTGGGTGATCTGAAGCCAAACTTCGCACACGCCTTTGAGAGTGTATCCAGGTCCATGAGTTCCTGCTGGATGCAGGCACATTTCAGATGCCCCAGAATGAGCGGGCAGCCCCAGGCCACTGCACCTGCCCCGGAGCGGTCAGCCACTCATTCAGAGAGAGTGTTGCTGGGGAGAGCTGACAAGAACTTAAGGGAAACAGTTTCTTTCAAAGATGTGTATCCTCCCGAATGCTCAGAGCCCTGTGTGCCTTGGGATGTCAGACTTGTCGAGTCTTTTATCCCTGGTCTTTTATCCCTGGTCTAGTCCGTCACTGCAGGAAGGCCAGGCCTCCCGGGTCCTCCTTCGTGCCCCGGATGTGAAGCACCGTACAGCCCACCACATGCTTCTGTCGCCTCATTGCCATGCCTCTGAAATCCCCAAACCCCAAACAGGGCCCTCTAGAGCTTGGCAAAATCTCCTGCTTCCTGACCTTATCTCTGAATAGTCCTATCTCTTCCTCACAGTAAACATGACCCACCTCGCTCTCCCCAAGGACACCATTTCCCCTGGAGCCTTCCTGAGTGGTGGTGTTTTCTTCCCACAGTGTAACCGGGCCTAGATGAGTCAGGTGCCCTCCTCGTCCCTCACTGCAGCCTCCAGGCTCTTTTCCCTCCTCCCTAAAAACATCCAACTTCAGATCTCCTGTCATCAGATCATTCCACCTCCTCTCATTGCCGTCACCTGTCAACTCCTGGGTCCTCCTCACGCATACTTTGAAGATGCTCAGTTTTGTCTCGCAGCCACTCTCCAGTTTTCCTCCTGTCTTGATTGTTTAACTATCCACATGGGCGCTGGGTCACATTTGGCTGCACGTTGGAATCACCTGAGGAGCTTTAAAAAAATACTGATGCTTGAGTCCCACAAGAGGTTCTGTCTTAATTGGCCTGAGGTTCCGTGTAATCTGGGCATTGGAATCGTCAGATGCTCCCAAGGTGGTTCCCAGGTGCATCTAAGGTTGAGAAACCTTTCATTCTCAGTCCCTTGTCCTCCTTTCTAGTCATTATGACCTCTGTCCTATTTGGTTATTCACTCCCAAGCTCACACCCTGCACTAGACATCTCACTTCTGATAGCCAAAGGATTTGATTTGTTTGTCCTCAGTGTCTCTATTTTCTTTCTATTCTCTAATCTGCTCTAATCTGGCTTTTGCCCCAGCTGTTAAGATGACTAGTGATTGACATATTGCAAAGTCCAGTTGTTAATCATCTTACTTGACTTAGCAGAACTTAACACAGCTGATCATTCCCTCTTCTTGGAAATACTTTGGTTTTTCCTTGGCTTGTGGGACACTCTACGCTCTGGGCTTTTCTCCAGCCTCGTAAGTCTTCTTCTCAGCCTCCTTTGCTGATTTCTGTTCATTTTCCTGATCCTCGGACATTAGATGCCTGAGTACATAGTCCTTGTACTTTTCTTTTTGTTTAACCTTTAGTGATCTCTTCTAATCTCACAAATTTAAACTCCAAGAAAGAATGTGAATGGCTCAGTGGAACCTCAGGTATCAGTGGTTCTGGAGAGACCCCGTAACATACATGTCCTCCTGATAGGTTTGGTGGAACAACTATTCCCAAAATAACCCCAACATAAAAATTTTGTTTGGTACCAGATGGGTTACAGAATTATCTCATTAAAGGATAAAAGAGTTGTGTTTAATTCATTCACCATCCGTTCAACAAATATTTAAGTACCTTCCAAGTGCCTGACACAGAGCTATTATAATACAGATGAATTCTAATGTGTATATGTTTAGGGATTATTTTTTTTTTGACAGAGAGGCAGGGAGTCACACACTTTAAGTTAGTAGCCCTGGACACTGGTTCAAAATGTTAAAATAGCATCTCTGTGGAAATGACTGGATCTACAAGTGTAAGCTCCAGTCACTTTAGTAATAATCTGTTTTATAATGTTACCATCATATGATGAAACAGAGAGAACCCATTGTTCCCTTGCTCTGCTCTTCCAAGCAGGCTGGTTAAGCTAAGTGTACTTTCCCTGCACCCAGTGGAGCCTCAGAGGGGAGAGGCAAATGGCATTGCCCAGAGCCCTGTCTTCCCCAGTTCACTAGAAGCGAGTTCTCCCTCACATCCTTGGGGGCACCAGCAGCTTCCCAAATCCTCGCTCTGGGTGAAACTTCTCAAGGACTTGAAAATCCTTAAAAACAAATTCTCACCCATCCATCCCCTGTTCCCTCACACCCATTAAATCGAATCAGACTACTCTGCCTCTTCCAGCGTGGTGGATTTCAGCCTGCTTACTGACACACGTGATTTCTTTTCTGAGTTTCCAGATTTTCTTAAACGCTACTGTGCGGCAATTTGCAAATAAATTCCTATTTCCCTGACATTGTGCTTTCAGATGCATATCCATTTACCTAAAAATCCTGTTAGAAATCATGTCTTTCTGGTACTTCATTGCAGATTCCGTGCTTGTGGTGAAGGCAAGGCAGCCCAAGCCTTTCTTTGCTGCCGGAAATACATTTGAGATGACTTGCAAAGTGTCTTCCAAAAATATTAAATCGCCACGCTACTCAGTTCTCATCATGGCTGAGAAGCCTGTTGGGGACCTCTCCAGTCCTAACGAAACCAAGTACATCATCTCCCTGGACCAGGATTCTGTGGTGAAGCTGGAGAACTGGACAGATGCATCGCGGGTGGATGGAGTTGTGTTAGAGAAAGTGCAGGAAGATGAATTTCGCTATCGAATGTACCAGACTCAGGTCTCGGATGCAGGGCTGTACCGCTGCATGGTGACAGCCTGGTCTCCTGTTAGGGGCAGCCTGTGGCGAGAAGCAGCAACCAGTCTCTCCAATCCTATTGAGATAGACTTCCAAACCTCAGGTGAGCAGGGAACCCTGTTGAATCCTAGACTGAGCTGGAAGGGACCCTAGGGTTTTGATCCAATGGCTTCATGTTTTTAAACAATTTTATTGAAATATAATTCACATGCCATACAATTTATCCATTTAAATATATAGTTCAGTGGTTTTCAGTATATACACAGAGTTGTGCAACCATCACCACAGTTAATTGTAGAACATTTTCATTACAACCAATAGAAACCTGCACCCTTAGCTGACACCCTTTAGCTCCCCAACCTCCTACCCCCTGGCAACCACTAATCTCCTGTCTGTCTCTATAAACTTGCATATTCTGGACATTTCATGTAAATGGAATGTAATATGTAACCTTTGTGTCTGGCTTTTCTCACTTTATTTTTTATTTTTTTTAACATGTTTATTGGAGTATAACTGCTTTACAATGGTGTGTTAGTTTCTCCTTTATAACAAAGTGAATCAGCTATACATATACATATATCCCCATATCCCCTCCCTCTTGCGTCTCCCTCCCACCCTCCCTATCCCACCCCTCTAGGTGGTCACAAAGCACCGAGCTGATCTCCCTGTGCCATGCAGCTGCTTCCCACTAGCTAGCTATTTTACATTTGGTAGTGTATATATGTCCATGCCACTCTCTCACTTCATCCCAGCTCTCCCTTCCCCCTCCCCGTGTCCTAGAGTCCATTCTCTACGTCTCCGTCTTTATTCCTGACCTGTCCCTAGGTTATTTTTTTTAGATTCCATATGTATGTGTTAGCATATGGTATTTCTTTTACTCCTTCTGACTTACTTCACTCTGTATGATAGTCTCTAGGTCCATCCACCTCACTACAAATAACTCAGTTTCATTTCTTTTTATGGCTGAGTCATAATCCATTGTATATATGTGCCACGTCGTCTTTATCCATTCATCTGTCGATGGACATTTAGGTTGCTTCCATGTCCTGGCTATTGTATTTAGAGCTGCAGTGAACATTGTGGTACATGACTCTTTTTGAATTATGGTTTTCTCAGGGTGTATGCCGAGTAGAGGGATTGCTGGGTCGTATGGTAGTTCTATTTTTAGGTTTTTTTTTTTACGGTATGCGGGCCTCTCACCGCTGTGGCCTCTCCCGTTGCGGAGCACAGGCTCCAGACGCGCAGGCTCAGTGGCCATGGCTCACGGGCCCAGTCGCTCCGCGGCATGTGGGATCTTCCCGGACCGGGGCACGAACCCGTGTCCTCTGGATCGGCAGGCGGACTCTCAACCACTGCGCCACCAGGGAAGCCCTATTTTTAGTTTTTTAAGGAACCTCCATAGTGTTCTCCGTAGTGGCTGTATCAATTTACATTCCCACCAACGGTGCAGGAGGGTTCCCTTTTCTCCACACCCTCTCCAGCATTTATTGTTTTTAGATGTTTTGATGTTGGCCACACTGACCGGTGTGAGGTGATACCTCATTGTAGTTTTGATTTGCATTTCTCTAATGATTAGTGATGTTGAGCATCCTTTCATATGTTTGTTGGCAATCTGTATATCTTCTTTGGAGAAATGTCTATTTAGGTCTTCTGTCCATTTTTTGATTGGGTTGTTTGTTTTTTAGATGTTGAGCTGCATGAGCTGCTTGTAAATTTTGGAGATTAATCCTTTGTCAGTTGCTTCCTTTGCAAATATTTTCTCCCATTCTGAGGGTTGTCTTTTGGTCTTGTTTATGTTTTCCTTTGCTGTGCAAAAGCTTTGAAGTTTCATTAGGTCCAATTTGTTTATTTTTGTTTTTATTTCCATTTCTCTAGGAGGTGGGTCAAAAAGGATCATGCTGTGATTTATGTCAAAGAGTGTTCTGCCTATGTTTTCCTCTAAGGGTTTGATAGTTTCTGGCCTTACATTTAGTGTTTAATCCATTTTGAGTTTATTTTTGTGTATGGTGTTAGGGAGTGTTCTAATTTCATTCTTTAATATGTAGCTGTCCAGTTTCCCAGCACCACTTATTGAAGAGGCTGTCTTTTCTCCATTGTATATTCTTGCCTGCTTTATCAAAAATAAGGTGACCAGGGCTTCCCTGGTGGCGCAGTGGTTGAGAGTCCGCCTGCCGATGCAGGGGACACGGGTTTGTGCCCCAGTCCGGGAAGATCCCACATGCCGCGGAGCAGCTGGGCCCGTGAGCCATGGCCTCTGAGCCTGTGCATGTGGAGCCTGTGCTCTGCAACGGGAGAGGCCACAACAGTGAGAGGCCCGCGTACCGCAAAAAAAAAAAAATAATAAGGTGACCATATGTGCGTGGGTTTACCTCTGGGCTTTCTATCCTGTTCTGTTGATCTATATTTCTGGTTTTGTGCCAGTACCATATTGTCTTGATTACTGTAGCTTTGTCGTATAGTCTGAAGTCTGGGAGCCTGATTCCTCCAGCTCTGTTTTTCTTTCTCAACATTGCTTTGGCTATTCGGGGTCTTTTGTGTTTCTGTACAAATTGTGAAATTTTTTGTTGTAGTTCTGTGAAAAATGCCATTGGTAGTTTGATAGGGATTGCATTGAATCTGTAGATTGCTTTGGGTAGTATAGTCATTTTCACAATGTTGATTCTTCCGATCCAAGAACATGGTGTATCTCTCCATGTGTTTGTATCATCTTTAATTTCTTTCGTCAGTGTCTTATAGTTTTCTGCATATAGGTCTTTTGTCTCCTTAGGTAAGTTTATTCCTAGGTATTTTATTCATTTTGTTGCAGTGGTAAATGAGAGTGTTTCCTTAATCTCTCTTTCAGATTTTTCATCATTAATGTATAGGAATGCAAGAGATTTCTGTGCATTAATTTTGTATCCTGCTACTTTACCAAATTCATTGATTAGCTCTAGTAGTTTTCTTGTAGCATCTTTAGGATTCTCTATGTATAGTATCATGTCATCTGCAAACAGTGACAGCTTTACTTCTTCTTTTCCGATTTGGATTCCATTTATTTCTTTTTCTTCTCTGATTGTTGTGGCTAAAACTTCCAAAACTATGCTGAATAATAGGGGTGAGAGTGGAGATAGCCTCATCCACCAGAGGGCAGACAGCAGAAGCAAGAAGAACTACAATCCTGCAGCCTGTGGAACAAAAACCACATTCACAGAAAGATAGACAAGATGAAAAGGCAGAGTGCTATGTACCAGATGAAGGAACAAGATAAATCCCCAGAAAAACAACTAAATGAAGTGGAGAAAAAGAAAAAGAATTCAGAATAATGATAGTGAAGCTGATGCAGTACCTCGGAAAAAGAATGGAGGCAGAGATCGAGAAGGTGCAAGAAATGTTTAACAAAGACCTAGAAGAATTAAAGAACAAACAAACAGAGATGAACAATACAAAAACTGAAATGAAAACTACACTAGAAGGAATCAATAGCAGAATAACTGAGGCAGAAGAACGGATAAATGACCTGGAAGACAGAATGGTGGAATTCACTGCTGTGCAACAGAATAAAGAAAAAAGAATGGAAGGAAATGTAGACAGCCTAAGAGACCTCTGGAACAACATTAAACACAGCAACATTCGCATTATAGGGGTCCCAGAAGGAGAAGAGAGAGAGAAAGGACCAAGAAAATATTTGAAGAGATTATAGTCGAAAAGTTCCCTAACATGGGAAAGGAAATAGCCACCCAAGTCCAGCAAGCACAGAGAGTCCCATACAGGATAAACCCAAGGAGAAACATGCCAAGACACATAGTAATCAAACTGGCAAAAACTAAAGACAAAGAAAAAGTATTGAAAGCAGCAAGGGAAAAACGACAAATAACATACAAGGGAACTCCCATAAGGTTAACAGCTGATTTCTCAGCAGAAACTCTACAAACCAGAAGGGAGTGGCATGACATATTTAAAGTGATGAAAGGGAAGAACCTACAACCAAGATTACTCTAGGCAGCAAGGATCTCATTCAGATTCGATGGAGAAATCAAAAGCTTTACAGACAAGCAAAAGCTAAGAGAATTCAGCACCACCAAACCAGCTCTACAACAAATGCTAAAGGAACTTCTCTAAGTGGGAAACACAAGAGAAGTAAAAGACCTACAAAAACAAACCCATAACAATTAAGAAAATGGGAATAGGAACATACATATCGATAATTACCTTAAATATGAATGGTTAAATGCTCCAACCAAAAGACAGAGGCTCGCTGAATGGATACAGAAACAAGACCCATATATATACTGTCTACAAGAGGCCCACTTCAGACCTAGGGACACATTCAGACTGAAAGTGAGGGGATGGAAAAAGATATTTCATGTAAATGGAAATCAAAAGAAAGCTGGAGTAGCAACACTCATATCAGATAAAATAGACTTCAAAATAAAGAATGTTACAAGAGATAAGGAAGGATACTACATAATGATCAAGGTATCAATCCAAGAAGATATAGCATTATAAATATATACGCTCCCAACATAGGAGTACCTCAGTACACAAGGCAACTGCTAACAGCTATAAAAGGGAAATTGACAGTAACACAATAATAGTGGGGGACTTTAATACCTCACTTACACCAATGGACAGATCAGACGAAATGAAAATAAATAAGGAAACAGAAACTTTAAATGACACAATAGACCAGATTTAGTTGATATTTATAGGACATTCCATCCCAAAACAGCAGATTACACTTTGTTCTCAAGTGCACATGGAACATTCTCCAGGATAGATCACATCTTGGGTCACAAATCAAGCCTCAGTAAATTTAAGAAAATTGAAATCGTATCAAGCATCTTTTCAGACCACAATGCTATGAGATTAGAAATCAGTTACAGGGAAAAAAATGTAAAAAACACAAACACATGGAAGCTAAACAGTGCGTTACTAAATAAGCAAGAGATCACTGAAGAAATCAAAGAGAAAATCACAAAATACTTAGAGACAAATGACAATGAAAACACGACAATCCAAAACCTATGGGATGCAGCAAAAGCGGTTCTAAGAGAGAAGTTTATAACAATACAAGCCTACATCAAGAAACAAGAAAAATTTCAGATAGTGGTGAGAGTGGACAAC